AAAGAGTGATGAGAAAATTAGAATACTGCTATAGTTATCCATTCCTTCTTTTCACAAATAACAAGTGCCAATTCAGGGCAAGATTCTGTGCTAGGTGTTGTGGAGATGCAGATAAACTCTGTCCTCGAGGTGTACAGACTGGTAGGGAGACCAGGGAGCTAGCCAGATAACACTCATAGGAGGCAGAATGGCACAGGAGAGCCCCTTATGAATTCTCTGGCCAGGGAAATGAGGAGGGCCTTAGAGGAAGCGGTTAGGACATTTTGTCTACCTAGGACTTGCATTCTTTAAAGCAATTTGGTAGTGAAAGAAATTAGAGCAAAAGGAAGGCGGTTAAAATGGTCCATAAAATCTTAAGCTTTTGTAATTTTTTTTCTTAGCAGAAAATAGCAATAGTATGTTACCAAAAAAGCACATGAGGACATGGTGAATCTAATTTTCCCAAACTGAAAGAGGAAAGACAGGTGAAAAAGGAAGTGGAAGCAGCAGCATCCTCAGCACCTGGCTAATAGCCACCCAAGTGGGCCATGACACCAAAACCCACCTCCAAGCCTCAGGTAATTTGTCAAGTGGGGTACCCCGTACTTCACAGGGCAGCCGTGAAGATTATGTGAGTCACTATGCCTTGCACTGTGCCTGTGGTAAGTGCTCAATAAATGGCCTTTATTACTGTTGAAATTTGGGTGGCTGAAAGGCGAATGCTCACAGAAATGAAGGATGTATTTAACTTTTTCCTCTCCCATTTCTCCCTTTTCTTCCGATGGTTCTCTGCCCTTTATTTAACATGATGGTTGTGGGAAAAGAAGGGCCAAGGAGGAAGGAGCTAAAAACAGGAAATTTAGCGATGCAGATGGCTCTACCAATGAAAAGACAGAAAAGATGCAGGCTTGGGCAAGTTTGTTAATACAAACCTCTTTCACTAATGAGTGCAGAAAACCTGAGTAGCAAGCAAGAAAAATATCAAGGGAGAAAGAAAGAAAAAAGAAAGCCAATGGGGTACAAATAACATTTGGAAACAAGTTCTGCAGGTAGGCACTGATTAGATGCAAAGGCCAAAGAAGGCATAATTATGGTGTGGTTGGTGGGATAAATTAGGGTACAATTAAACCCCACCTTGGTGAAATAAATTGAAAAGCGAAGGACATTAACCTGTAGATCTTAGAAAGCATGGTTAAATCTCACACTGATAGAGGGCTTTTAAGCAAAATAGTTAATAGCTGGAGAGAAAACCAAGGTGATTATATATAAAATATGTATACCTTTCTGCTTTCCTCTTCCCACAAAGAAAAAACAACAAACAAAAAAGACAAACTACATTTCATTATAACAATTAACACTTCAATGCTTATTCTTATTGGCAACCATTGTTGAAAGTACAACAAGTATTAATTGTTTAGTACTCACTGCAACTTTGTGAGGAAAATACAATTACTATCACCAATGAGGAGACTGAGGCACAGAAGGTTTAACTTGCCTAAGGTCTCACGGTTTGTAGGTAACCAAGGTGCCACACTGCTTCCCACAATTACCCTGGTCGTGAACTTTGGGTAGAGTCACCCTGTGCAATGAGTTTAGGGCCACTTACAATATGACCACAAATCATATTACAAAGATGATAACTTTGGACTGACAATAGATAGTTCTTTAAAATTCACACATGGTTACCAGTCAGGTTTGAAGAACATATAATGTGAAAAAGCTGCAAACAGATGTGAGTGAACAGTAGGAAGATTAAAAAGGAAATAAAAAGCCATAGGTCCAGGAAGCAAAGTTTACCAAATGGCCACTTGTGGTACTATGAAGGCAGCAAATCCTGTGATAATTCATACGATGGACCATAATGCTGGGTAGCATGAGGCCCTGGGGGCCCGTTGGCAGCACAGCATGGCACTGTAATCATGCATTGGTGAGCGGGGGGTAATCTTTCATATCTTTATGAAATTTGTCTCCTTTCAAGAACTGTACATAGAAGAATAAGACTGAATATTTGGTGAAAATGTGACACAAAGATCTGAGATACCATTATTGTAAAATATATTTACATTGTGAAAAAAAATATTAGGGGAAAAAAAGACCTTGCTTGTTTATAATTAATGAAGCATGGCTTTTTCAATGGTAGAGAAGATAAAAGTTTCCCAGAACTCCAACCAACAACTGACGTTAGGGATATTGTAGAGGGTGCAAGTGGCTGATTGCAGAATCCAACAGTGACTGGTCACCTGTTTGGTTTTCTTTGACAGTGCAGGAACTGGAGCTGTCTTCTGCTGCATCATTTCTGTGTTTCCTCCTCCTTCACCATCTGATGCATCTAGAAAATATAAAGTTTAAAAATTAGAAAAGTTTTCTCTCTCTCATTCTCTCTCTCTCTCTCTCTCTCTCTCCCACCCCCCCCTCCTTCCTTCCCATTGCTAGCATGATCTTTTGGGTATGTGCCACCTGTCTAGAATGCTCTATCCCTTGATTTAGTAATTCCACCTCTAAGAAGCTGAATTTAAGGAAGGGATCCAAAATGAAGATAGAGATTTCAGGACCAAGATGGCAGTCTTATTAACAAAACTGCAAAACTGAAGACTATCCAGATGTCTAACATTTGAGAGTGTTTAATTATGGAACATTCATACTGATTTTACAGATATTAAACTCTTCATTTTCAGATAAGAAAGCTGCTGCTTAAGAGAGTGAAGTAATCTACCCCAGGGCACACACCTGGGAACCCAGATTTGAGTACCAAGTCTTCCTCACAAGGGACGCTATCTGCACTGAGAACCATCAAGCTCTTGACCTGGGTGCTGACCCCAGGGGAAATGTTAAAGAGATTGTGACAAAAGGATTTTAGGTCATAAGAAATTCTTACTTTGAATTTTTATAATCTTTCAACAATGGAAAAGATAAATTCTTATTCTAAGAATCAGGGAAAATAAAAGTTTTAGAGTTTTTCTGTATATAAAGCTCTCTTCAAGAAACATGGCAACCACAAATTTCTTACTTCCCATGATACTATAATGCCTTCTGGATTATAGTGGTTTGTCGATAAACACATTTTTGAATCTTTGAAAGGCTTTACTTATTCCCTTAAAGTTTCTCTATATATCTTAAAGTAAGCCCAAAATATGAATTTGTGAGCAATCTTGGTCAGAATTCATACTTAGTTAAAAATTAACCCATTTGGTAATCTTGAGCTTTTAAATGTTGGTTTATTATGATGATAATTTCATAAGTCAACTTGATTGGGCCACAGGGTGCACAGATATTTGGCCAAAAGTTATTCTGAGTGTTTCTGTGAGGGTGTCTTGGATGAGATTAACATTTGAATGGGTAGAATGAATAAGACAGATTGCCCTCCCTAATGTGGGTGGGTCTCATCCAATCAGATGAAGGTCTGAATCAGGTGACCCTCCTCTGGGTAAGAGGATTTTTCCTGCCTTAGGACTTGAACTGAAACTTGGGCTCCTCCTGTATCTGGAGCCAGCTGGCCCTCAGACCAGAACTACACTATTAGCTCTCCTGGTTCTCAGGCCTTCTGACTAGGACTAGAATTAAACAATTGACTCTTGTGAGTCTCCAGCTTGCCAATTCACCATGCAGATCTTGGGACTTGCCAGCCTCCATTACTGCATGATCGAATTCCTTATTTTATATCTAGATATAGAGCTATATAAGTATAGATAGATATATAGAAATCTATCTTCTATTGGTTCTATTTTTCTGGAGAACCCAGATTAATAAACATACTTTCAACTGCATAGCATGAAAAAAAGTACTCTACCTAATAGAGTAGTAGCAGGGAGGAGATTAACAGATTTTTAAATGAGTGATTAAGTTGGCATTAACAGTATTTATAGAACTCCTTCTGGGAAGATAGTAGTTATATTTTTCCTTATTCCTTCTTCTAATTACAGCTAAAATTCCTGGACACTGTATATAAAACAAACACAGAAAGTCTCTGAAAGGTGGCGAGAAGAAATCAGACCTGTAGGGACTTTGGGGCCCAATGAACAACATAGGGGGAAGCTCCTTGGGTTTTCCTTTTGCCTCATTATCTCAGACTTGGAGCTTAAGAAGCAGTAACTTGAAAATTACAATTTGAGAGCAGACAAAAGAGGCCCCAACAAACATCTGCTCTATTTAACAAAATGTCCAGAGAAGGGGCAGCCTAGCAAGACAGAAAACTTATAGACAATAACTAGTTGACTCCAGCCAAACACCACTGAAAAACTGTGGCCTTATCTCCACCAGCAAAGGCTGAATGAGGAGCCTAGATTTTCACCTTTGCCAGGCTATAATGAAGCACCCTAACTCTTCCTTCACCTCCTACCAAGTGGGATTGAACCCCTGAAGGGATTTTTGTCCCTGAAGAGTGCTAACAAATCTTAGTTCCCTCCTCCTATCACCACCACCACCACTGCAGTATCAATGGAGATCACGTGGTGAGCTTAGAATTTTACTTCTTCCTGGCAGTAATGAAGTACTCCTCTCCCCCATCCCCCACTAGGATAGTGTCAGAGGAGTCAGGACTTTCCATACTGCCCAGTGGTAATGAGGCTACGCTCACACTAGTAGTTTTAACAACCACTAAAATAGCTATACAAAGAGATACACTCAAGAACACAAAGATAAATCAAAACAGAATTCTATGTTCGAGTAACAGGAAAGCAGGAAAGAGAAAACAGAGAAACGAAACATAGTAAACAAACAGAAAAACATAATATGGCAGATTTAAACCCCAACATTATCTATAATTATATTAATGTAAATGGTCTAAACATACCAATTTAAAGACAGAGGTTGACAGAGTGATTAAAAAAGATGACTTAACTATATACTGTTTACAAGAAACTTACCTCAAATCTAACAATTAGGCAAGTTGAAAGCAAAATGATGGAAAAAAATATAACATGCAAATATTGCTCAAAAAAATCAGGAGTGGCTATATTAATATTAGATAAAGTGATTTTGGAGTAAATAAAATTACCAGAGAAGGAGGACTTTATATAATGACAAAAGTGTGACTCTAACAATAATACATAGCAATCTTGAATGTGTATGCACCAAACAACAGAGCTATAAAATATGAGAGGCAAAAACTGATAGAAATGAAAAAGAAACAGACAAACCTACAATTAAGTTGCAAACTTCAACAGTCCTCTCTGAAAAACTGAGAGAATGACTAGACAGAAAATTAGCAGAAGAACTGAGTGACACCATTTACCAATAGGATCTGATCAACATGTATAGACTACTGCACTCGACAAAGCAGAATATGTATTCTTTTTAAGCATTATGGAACACATACCAATAAAGACCATATTCTAGGATATAAAACATCAACAAATTTAAAAGAATTGAAATTGATAAACAGCATGTATAAAAAACCTATAGCAAACATTATCAACTTAATAATGAAAGACTAAATGCTTTCCTCATTTGCAAACAAGACAAGGATGTCTGCTCTGACCAGCATTATTCAACATAATGCTAGAACTTTTAACCAGTGCAGTAAGACAAGAATGGAAAATAAAAAGCATATACATCAGAAAGGAAGAAATTAAACTACTGCCATTTGCAGATCACATGATTGTTTACATAGAGAATCTCAAGGAATCTAAAAACACCAAAACACAAAACAAAAACAAAAAAAATGCCCTGCTAGAGCTAAAAACTAGAGAGCTTCGCAAGTCACAGAATAAAGCAAACATCAATTTTATCTCTATATACTAGCAATGAACATGTGAACATAAAAATTAAAAACACAATTCCATTTACAATTGCTGAAAAAAACCTCAACATATTTACATGTAAATTTAACAAAACATGTACAGAACTTAAATGCTGAAGACTATAAAATGCAGATGAAAGAAATTAAAGACAACCTAAATAAATGAAGATATATACCATGTTCATGAATTTGAAGACAAATCATAGTAAACATATCAGTTTTTCCCAAATCAATATACATACAGGTTTAACACTATTTCTAACAAAATCCCAGCAAGATTTTTCCCTAGATTTACACGATTATTCTAAAATTGATGTAAAACGTCAAAGGAACTAGAATAGTTGAAACAATTCTGAAAAAGAATACTTAGTGGGAGAAATTATGCAATTTCAAGACATATTATACAGTTACAGCAATCAAGACTGTGTGGTATTGGCATAGGGATAGACATGTAGAAGGATGAAGTAGAATATAGACCAGAAAGAGACACACACAAATATGCCCAACTGATTTTGGACAAATGTGCAAAAGCCATTCAATGAAGAAAAAATCCTTTCAATAAATGTAAAAAATAATCCATAGGCAAAAAAATTAACCCCTATGTAAGTTTCATGCCTTATACAAAAATTAACTCGAAACGGATCACTGATTTAAATGAAAAATGAACCTTTAGAAAAAAAAGAGAAAACCTTTAAAATCTAGTGTTAGGCAAAGAGTTCTTAATTTTGATACCAAAAGTACAATCAACATAAAAAATAATAATTAGTTAGACTTTATCAAAATTGAAAACTTTTGCTTTGCAAATACCTTGTTAGGAGAATGAAAAAACAAGAAAGAGAGTGAGAGAAATATTTATAAACCATGTAGCTAACAGAAGACGGATTGATATCTAGACAACATAAATAATTCTCAAAATTCAACACTAAAAAAGCAGACAGATTAGAAAATGGCAAAAGACATGAACAGATATTTCACTGAGGAGGATATTCTATGGCAAACAAGTACCTTAAAATATATTCCACATCATTAACCTATAAGGAAATGCAAATCAAAACTATGAGATATCACTACAAACCTATCAATGGCTAACATTAAGAAAATAACACCAACACCAAATGCTGGTGAGGTTGCAGAGAAACTGGATTACTCATACATTGCAGTGGGAATGTAAAAATGGTACAGCCACTTCCATTCCACAAATGGAAAATAGTTCAGCAGTTTCTTAAAAAAATAAACAAAACTAAACATGCAACTACTATATAATACAACAACTGTACTCCTGAACATTTATCCCAGAGAAATCAAAACTTAGTTTATACAACAACCTGTATACAAATGTTTACAGCAGCTTTGTTTATTATGTATAATAGCCAACAAACTCGAAAACAATCCAGGTGTCCTTCAGTGGGTGAATAGTTAAGCAAACTGTTACATCCATACCATGAAATACTAATCAGCAAAAAGAAAAAGAAAACGAATTATTGATACACATGACAACCTATATTAATCTCCAGAGAATTATGCTGACTGAAAAAAGCCAATCCCTAAAGGTTACATATTGTGAGATTCCTTTTATATCACATTCTTGAAAT